AAGAAAGACACCTTTTATGCAGAATGGCATTACAGTTGCAGTAATTGCAGTACAAGAAAATATTTTTTTTTTAAAAAGATCAAGAACAGATCTCAGAGGGTTCCAATCCTGCTGCTGGCAACTAGAGCAAGAGGAGCGACTTGTGACGGGTGTCAGTGCCCAAACCCTGGGATGAGACCAGAGCTCCTTACAACACTCCTCTGATTAGCTCTGTGGAATTAATCACCGCCAGCTCTTCTGCTCCTGTGGGAATCTGAAAAATTGAAAAGTGTCTACAGTGGAGTTTTGGCTGCGTGCCTGTAGCCATTTAGTCTTCAGGGCTGTGACAACTGTGGATTCTACAGGAGCCAACTTTTAAGTAAATATGTATATGAGCTATGGAAACAACATTTGAGTTTTATAGTCAGAAGATAAAAGCAGTGTCAGTACAGTCTGTATGAACACAGTTGTTCTCACTCCTGACTGTTTACCTACCGCTTTGGTGCACTGCACGTCTTTTCCCAGAAGCCAGTGCAGCTCCAGGTTTCCTTCGCCCTGGTAGCATGACTGCAGGCGCTCCTTAATGCGAGTGTTGATGTCTTGGATGGTGAAGATGCAGACAGCAGAATGATCCGGTGGGTCGTGGTACTGTTTTTGTCCCTTTGAAAACACGGCGTAAACCACATCCTCCTGCGTGCTGATGTTGAGCGACTTAGCCAGAACCCGGCCGGCCTTGGTCAGGTAGGCGGCCTGCAGTAGCCGGTACTCCTCACCTCTGTGTACGCAGCCTATAGGAAGTGACACATAGGAGTGGAACCTCTTGTCGCCTTTGCAGAGGCGGATGATGCGTGTGGTGTAAAAAAAGTCACCAGGGGAGCCGCCCGCAGGCATCCCATTCTCCGGAGTCTCCGGCTGGACGGTCATGAAATAGACAAAGTTGCCGCTAGCAAAGCCGTAGATGTAGTAAATGTCAAAGTGTGGAACAAGAGCCAGCGTGTCTGAAGGTATTTTAATGAGAGATGAAACAAAGTCAGTGTGAAGCTCGTAGTCAAGCATGGCAGAGGATTCTGGGTCCTGGGGCAGCTTGCGGCTGGAGATGGTTGGGAAGTAGTCTTGTTTGCCTCCGACTGCCGTGCCAATGTACAGAGTGGCGTCCTGACCCTGTGAGGGTACGATAACTCCAAACATCGTCTCAGTCTGATTGTCACTAGACAAGTAGTGCTCCTTCTTATGCGTGGGCTCGACAAGGATGAACAAGTCGTCGAGCCTCATCAGCTTGCAAACACCCTGGTAGAGGCTGCCGCAGGCCAGCAGGCGGTTGTGAGGATAGTCGATGAGCAGCAGTTTGTTGACGTTGTCCGTAGAGGCCAGCGGCTCGGAGCAGGGCTGGACAATCAGGGGAGGGTAACACGCTTTGTTGTCGTACTCTGGTCCCGTGTCGTGGGACACCAAAAGGGTGAGATTAGCTGAGAGCTTGTAGATTCGGTTTACGGCGCCAATGTACAGCGCTCCGGTGGACTGATGCACGGTCAGGTGGTTCAGTGACCACTCCTTCTTCTCCGACTGGAAGGTGTTCAGAGTTTGTCCTGCAGCTGTCGTCTGATTTATAGAGATCAGAGTCAAAAGCCAGAGTGCAACAGCCCAAGACATGACCTTTGGGTGGCGGTGACCTTTGGTGAGGCCACAATAAGTCCAGCCTTTGTACAAATACATTCCTGTTTGTGGAGATACTGAGGAAACCCCCGGGTGTTTGTGCATCAGCGAGGAGCAGATTGGTATTGAAAACGATGAGCTGGAGTGAGCTCTTGTTCCTCGTAATTGATCTTCACATCATTCTGAAAGAGAAGAAAGACACGAGAATGAAACTCAACCGTGAATGAAAAAGTGTGTCCAGGGAATCCTTAGACACTTTATCTCAAGAAAAACTTGCAATGTAAGAGCACGTTTCTCCCCCTTGCATCTCTGCCTAGCTGGAGACACTCATTTTTCTTGTGAAGAGACATCAGAGGAACGAGTAATCATTTGTTCAAAGAGTCTCTCCGTGTTTAACAGGAAAAACAATGCCCTAATATTCACCTCAGTGGTGAGTGCTGTCAGGGGATCACGGGTTTTTCGCTTCTCCATATTAGAGAACTAACAGTGAGCTATTACTCGAACAAAGCAGCCACACAGTGCAGCAGTATTTCCCTTGTTCGAGAGGCTGATTTAATGATCTAAATGCATTAATTATGCATCCATATTTTGGTCTCACTGTTTCCCTTTCTCTTCACTGCCCTTGTTCGTTTATATGATTGAATCCGAGAGGAATTAATCACTCACCAGCATGGCCGACATTCCTAAATTAATGAGCCCCTTTTCCAGGGACAACAGGGAGTCATTAGAGATTTAGAGCCAGTCAGAATTATCGCTCACACTCTCACGTTTAATTTCATTAACATATTGTATTCAGTTATTATCCAGGGGGCAAACAGTGTCCCTCAAGCCCACTGTGGACCGGAGGATGGATGGGTGAGGCAGATGGCAGGAGGTGTGATGTATTGGCAGAATTTTTTCCCTTCGCCATATCTGTTGTGTCATTTTTCTGACTCGAGCTGCTTCTCATGTAAATGAGACCAAATAAGATCCTTCGCAAAAGGAAAGAAGGGAAAAAAAGTGTTTCTCTCCCAACTATAAAACAGAACACAATTACTGCACATAAAGGAGATTTCCTGCACGCTCTTGTTTCAGATAGGTTTTTTAATAGAGTAATAAAACTTCATGCAAAAGCGGGCTGACCATAAATTGAGACTCGTACATCATCCTCAATCCCGTCTTTATGCCACCAGGGGCCTCTGCAATCTGGCTCCCACAGATTATTACTACCACAAGCCCTTTGTCCCTTTTCATTACTGCATCAGCATCCCCTTAATATTCTTCTAATTATTATTAAGAGTCACACAGGATCATCAGTCTTCGCTGCCTCTGTGTGAAGGTTTTAAAAATTCTAATATACATGCTGACAAAAGTCGGTGTTCATTTTTTTTTTCTTGGCTCTGACCGACATCTGTGGTGTCTTCCCTCTTAGACCTTCTTGTAGTGAAGGTCACATGATGACACCTATGTCATGCCCTGAAGCCAGGGTCAGGATGCAGTGGGTCAACTCCACGGGCAAATCCTGTTCCTTCATCAACTCCCTTCATTGTCTCCTGTCCATCTGTCCACGCTACAGTGGCACCAAGTGTCTCGGCACATAAGTGCTTCATCTGCCAGACTCATTCTGAGCATCTCCACCGATTAATAGCCACCAAAGAGCAAAATCCTTCCACAGTCTCAATGAATGCATTTAAAGAAGGGAATGTCGTCTTTTATAGGTTTTGTTTGTAATCCACGGCACAGCTTTGCACATTTCTGCTTTGAAGCGTTCAACTCAAAGCTTTTCTCTATATTCCTTTTTTTTGGTCAAAAAAGGCATTTTTTATTTAGTGAGACAGCAGCAAACTCTTTGAATACATCCATAAATTTCCTTTGAACAATTTGTCAAAGTGTAAAATAAATTCTCTAAAAATTAATACAAATAAATTATCTTCCCAATCTTTGTGAATTCTGTATGTAGATTTCAAAAGAATTCATTTTTTGGAAATTTGTCAACTGAAGTAGTGCAATCTCAGATAATAACATTTTGTAGTGTGCCTCTTGTCTTGTCCCATGAAAAATACAACAATTTTTTAAGCATTTTTAATGACAAGGCATCACTTTCGTTTAGCTAGCTAATTGTTTCCCCTTTTTCCTGATTTAGTTTTTTTGGTTTATTTTAATACAAGTAATGACTAGAATGATGTTATGGTATTTCCGGGTGTACAGCACCACAGATCAGTGGATACTAAGCATTAACTGTGAGTGTTAGATTTAGCCCGTTGTACTGTAACTAACCACTCGCTTTAATGTCTCCCCCTGAACTGCATTTCCTACAGCAGCCACTAGTCTGCTGAACTAATCGTATTATTCTATAAAAGGGTTTGACTCTGTTGCAGGATGACATTTATATAAAACAACCAAGGTCTTCCTCAAATCATGAACCAGAGTTTCTAAGCAATTACTAGCATCCTCTGCAGGGGAGTAATTTAGTAAATGTATGTAGTTTTACCTTTAAAATTAATTGGTTCTAAAAATTATGTTAAAACATAACCCTAAGTGTGTGGTGAAAACAAGTTAAAGGTTTTTCAAAAGTTTTTTTTTTTTGGAGATCATAACATTTTAAGACTTTTCTGTTAAAAATAACTAGTTTAAATTTATTTTTCTCAAAATAAAAAAAGATGAATGCCATTCTGTTGAGTTCCTAGCCAGCACCACTATAAATTATGTTCGATCAAACATACCAAACCCTTAAACCGACTTACACTGTAGATAAAAGCAGTGCCACCCAGAGGTTAATTTAAGCGTCGGGAGTCTTGCTTCAAACCCTCAGAGGAATGTTACACCGGGAGAGAAAAACAAGAAGATGAAAAAGGAAGTGCTGGTGGCAAACTGATTTGGGACAGCATGCAGGAAAGCAGTGGCCTCATCATTTTATTCATTTCTGCTCTGCTGGCTTTGGTCACGTCTAAGGCGTGCAGTCATGCTGCTCAGTGTTTACCCTGGATTATAGAGACAGCTCTTCGCCCTGCTCACTCCTCCCTCCTGAATTCTCTGCCTCGCCACTCAGACACGCTCCAGCCAAGACGTGACTCATTCACACTCGCACAGAGGAACATGGTTTCTGGGGCCACTGGGGATCACAATCGCAACTCAGACCGTGGAGGAGCCGGCCTCTTTTGTGCTTCACAGACATGACCCTTTGACCTAGATTAGGATCAGTGTAGCCAAATGCACCCCAAGGGTTCAGCTGTTATAAGGCTGAGACGCTGTCATGGCTTCTTTGGTGCCCACTTAGGCATAAAACACAGGGTAGAAGTTAGGAGATCAGTCTCTCTAACCAGTAAGACAAAGTGAGTGACAATTTGCTCTTCAAATATTTAGAATGTCTTTTTGTCTTTGTCTTTCAGCTGCTACCTTCAGGGGTCTCCACAGAGGATCATCAAGAAACGTCGACCTGTTTACGTTCTGAAGGATGGATTTGGGTGAGATGATGGAGCCGATCTGCTTCATGCTGATAATCTTTTAAAAGGTCAGTTGTTACAACTCATCTCTGTTTTCCCACTGAGTCAACAATACCAGTCATTGTCAACCACTTCAGAAGTGATACAAAAACACAAACACAGGTTTGGACACCAGTCTGATTTTTGATAGTCATAACATCGTCTGTTGTCATCGTGACACGTCAGCACTTTTGTGAGTCAACTGATTCTTTTGATGCTGGGCAGTTGATGAAGGTTTTAGCTTGAGTTTCTGAGTGGGGGACAGTTGGAGCCTCAGTAGAGTGTTTATCTTCATGATACTCTAACGTTCAGTCTTTACCCTCACAGTATGTAAACACAGTGCCTGATGGGAAACGTTTGTCCGGGGGCTTTTTGCAAATCTGTGCAGGCGAGACACTCAGAGGGAGGGTCAGTATTGTACACATTACAGATGAGTGAGTCGAGAGAGAGTCAGCTGGAGCAGAAGTCGACATGCAAATGAATAAATGAAGGCAATTAGTAGTTGTGTTTACAGGCTTGTTGAGACAGAAGTAGGTCAAACGTGGCACAGAGAGAGCCAGAGCCAGGGGCTGACGCTGGTACTTACGCTGACGAGCCCAAGAATTAGGACATGAAAATGCCATCTTTGTTAACAATGACTTTTAAATGAATGTCATGTTGAATCGCCAGGGAACGATTTGGTTCATGAGAAAAAGGCAGTCCTCTGGGATCAGTGCTCTGTGTTTTAACCAGGGCTGCGTTTGAAGAGGACAGCCCTGGGCTGTGGTGAGACACAGACACAGACCAGAGAGGAAATGATGTGAGGCATGATACTCACACTACACATACCCACAGGATCTGTTTACTTACTGACACATACACACATCACAGTTATGTGACACTTGCTCCAGTCTTGTCTTTAAATAACGTAATGAACCACCAAAAAAAAAAAGTGTTCTTCTAGGAAACAAATTATGCTTCCCCTGAAACTGAATAAAGTTTTCATCACTTGTATGTAGAACCACCTTGGAGGTTCATCAATCTTAAATATTCTAGATGGCGATGTGGAGTTGTTTTGTTCAGACTTGTTTTCTCCTGTTCTCCTGGTTTTCTTTAGTTCTGGAACTGTTGAAATGTATTCAGCAGCCCTCTCCTTAAAAGCCTCAGATAAAATTGTCCTAGAGCAGAGGTCTTCAACTCCAGGTGTAGGGATCGGTGCCGGTCCGTAGGTCATTTGGTATTGTATTGATTTTTTGATCTTAAGAGTACTAACAACCCTGATGGGAAATGTAATGTTTTGAATAATACGCACCACAGTTTGTTTCAGCAGAAAACCTAAACCCAGCAGTACAGTGAAAGCAAATGTGCAAACATGACAATTCTCATATCTAAATAATGACAAACCAATACAAGTCACTTACATAGACAATAGAAACAGAAAAGCATTTGTGCAGTACAAATGTAATACTTAGAATTAAATTCCATTGAAATGCAAAGGTGTTTCAGGCAGCACTGAGTACCAAATCTGTTGTCTTGACTCTCGTTGTGTATTTTGTTGTTCAGCACAGATGCTGCAGGTTTTAGGACTCTTTGGTTCACCACCAGTCTCCACAGTAGCAGAGGTTGTCTGGGGGGAGCAGTAAAACTGCACTATATCATGACTACTCCACTCCTAATAACTGCAGAATACAATACAGGGGACCTTGGGCAGGAGCAAATGTCACGTAGGGGACCAATTCCTACACACTGCTGCAACGTAGTAGGCGGCCTCCTCCGCAATGAATGCCATTATCCCAGGGCATATGCATTATACATGCAGATATGGTTCCATATATCTGGGATTGCAGTTAAGAGCAGCGACCAGATGAAGGGCACCGCTGCCAGAGTCAGACTCAACCGTGCATGCGTTCCTCCTCCCGTCCCTTTTCACATCTCCGTCTCCGTGTCCATAAATCTCATTGTCGTTCTCGCCCGGTTAATGGTGACCTCAAGCAGACTCCTCTCCACCGCCACAGCCTTCATGTTGCATTTATGATGAGCAAAGAGGCTAGAGTCAAAGTGACCCCCAGCGCTGTGATGAAAACCCATGCAGCTCAAATGCAAGAGGGCTCTTTTATAATTCAGCAGCTGCAGAAAAAGGAAAAGAAGAAAGGAAGAAAAACGAGCAGCGTTTTCTTGAGGGCCGTTCACTCATCGCACGTGAGCCGGGCCACAGCTGCTGTCAAGAGACAAACAGAAGACTCCAACTGTGGCTGCGTGTGATCGGTGGAAGGCACAGTTGAAAAAGAAAAACATTACACTGGTGAAAGCCACTCCGTCTCCAGCCACGGTTCGTAGTTTCTTAGATATGTTTTTGTAGCAAAAGGCAATATTTGTGCCTTCTTTGTTTGGCTCAGCCTCCTACAGCCAACTCTCCACTCTCTGTGGCTGTAGTTCTGTTTTACTGCCATCTTCCAAGTTCTTGTCTTTTTTGTTATCTGAGTTGACAGTACTTTTCTGCAGTAGACAGATCTATCTCTGCTGAGACTCATTCACTTACAGATGTGCTCGGGCTTTATAGCTTTTGCATGAATAAATCATTGGAAGTTGACAGTGGAAATACATTGCATTTGGCAGAATCGACGCGTGTGCAGGAGTGAGAGAAACAATCAGGCATGATGATGCTGGGAACCCATGTGAACGTGTAAACACATCAGGTGTGTCCATGTTTCTCCCACCACTGCACACACACACAGAAATGTAAGAACCTGTTCCCGAGGACACCTGTGCGGTTCCCAGAGTAACTCCGTCTTTGCCCATATGGTTCTCACGAGCGTAGGAAGCCATGGATGGACGAAGCTGGCGCGAATAATTACGATCAAAGAAATTACAGTGAAAGAGGAACAGCTGCTACCTCTGCTGCTAACAAATCAGTGTGAGTGAGAGGAGACGGCAACTGACAACCAGAGAGAAGAGACAGTTGGATAAGAGGAGAAGAGATGGAGCAGAGATTCAACTTTCTACCCACTCTTCCAAAACCACATTTAAACTCTTATCTGCACTGCAGACCCAGACGTCTTCAAATATTAATTCTGTCCAGATTTTCCGCCACTGCCATCAGACTTGTTCTAACTCTGAAATAGGCTGGTTTAACTACACCTGCGCAGGTGGGTCCAATGACCTGAATCTGGGCCAGTGTGACGTGGGTACGATGCACGTGACATTATCTCCATTTAAAATTAAATTCTTCGACTTAAATCCAGTCCATTCATATTTGGTAACCTGCAGCTGAGCACCACAGCACTGACCGTAGGTCAGCTGACATACTGTACAGACTATTGTACAGACTATTGTACAGACTGTGGAAAAGTCATTCACTGCTGTTTACTATCATTTGATGAAATAAATTATAAATTGTAAATATATTATAATATAATATTAATATATATTATAAAGATTTTTCTTCCATTATAATGGATGATTTGGTCTGGTTTGAAGCTTCTACTAGAATGGATGAGGCTCTGTAATGACACAGGGCTGCGTTTCAGCCGCTGGTGTTGGGGCTGTTGGTTTAGCTTAGCCTGTCTACCTGGACTATCATGCTATTGTTGCCTGGTTTGTACAGTAATCACTAAGATCCAACGAAGCTAACGTTTATACTTTTGCATATTTTTCTTGACATTTTCATATCAATAATTCAAGCATTTGGATTACTGACATACAAACCGGTGTGAAGTACAAATCTACCTACTGCCATTTGTCTTTCTGTTATAATTAAATAGCAACATAGAGAAAACGTTATATTCCTAAATGACATATTTAAGAATTAATCATAATTAATTAATCGTTATTAGTTACAATCAGAATTAATCATGATCAGTGGGAATTTATCCACGATTTTTCTGATTTCAATTTTAAATATTTGTTTTTCCAGTAATTGCAGACTTAAGCTAATTCCTTTTCCTCACAAGAAAACACTTTCCATGCAAAGTAGTAGTTCATATGGTAGTGTTTGACAAATACTTTTTATCCCCTTGTGTCCACTGCTCCCCAGGGATGGAGGGATGTAAGGCAGGAGACAGATTTGGTTATAAAATATTCTGATTCTGATTTAATTTAAAGTTTGTGAGTTATCTTATATTTGTTATTCTGATTCTGATTTAATTTAAAGTTAATTAATTAAGATTTAAGATTAAGATTTCAAAAGCCTAACCAAAACAAAAACTAGATTATATTAACAAAAAAACTCAATGTCAGAACGTATATATTTTTTTATTTTAACACCTCACAGCTTAGCTCATTGGTTGTTGAAATACGTTCTCCTATACATGCATTGAGCTTCTGCAACTGTGAGACACTCTTTAGAACTTTTCACCACCTGTATAGAACTGTCTCAACACAGGACACTGATCTTTACATGCCAGGCCACTGCACGACCCATTTTAGATGTGATTTTTCACACTTAGAGAAAACGTGTCAGTGCTTTAAAAAAATTCTAAACATACGCTGTCTGTTAACACCAGTGCCAGCAGAAAAAAAAAACAAAAAACAAAAAAAAAACACATCAGCAAGTTCTTGCACTGTTTGAATCAACATCGATGTAACAATCTGGAGGCAATGCACCATACTGCCAGACTGCCATCACTGCACGCTGAGAGCTGCCAAAGCTGCCATCTGGTAGGTGAGCTGCACACTTTCCACTCATACCACCCTCCCCTCTCACTCCTCTATTTGTCATCACATCTCTCTCTCTCCCTCTCTCTTTCTTTACCTCTGTTTCTCCCTGTGGTTATTAGTATTTCTCACCTTCGCCACCTTTCTATCACCGCTCTGCTCTCACCACATGCCACCCTCCTGTATACGCACTGACCTCAGATGTTTCGTAGGGAATAGAGCTGAAGTGTGAAGACTGAGAGGAGAAAAAGTTCAACTGAGCTCAGATTATTCTCCCAGTGTCTCTGTTCTAATTATCGCCCGCTTAATATCATAATTGGGTATTTCATTCTAGTTTTACCTCTGTAGTCAAGCAAAGCCAGAAGCGAGTGCTCACATGTACAGTTTCACACACACA